GATGACACTTCATTACATACATACTACACGTATACATACATATACATGAACGTACATATATACATGTATACATTCATGTGTACACGCGTATGTACATGCATATATATATATATGTATATATATACGTATACGGGCACTCGTACCGCGGTGATCAGAGGCGTCCTTCAATACATATGTGATTGATCCTGCGTCCCAGGCTCATCAAGCTTTCCTTCTCTGCGGTGTCGACAATTTGGTGCCAAACGAAGATAGCAGCACTGACTCAATATATTGGTTGGGCACCGCGAGTCATTGTAAAGGGCACATGAATTCAATGACCTATAGTTATGTTTGGTGAAGTCGAATTCATGGCACATCCCTAAGGGATTGATTGATCAATACTGAGAGCTTTATGCTTTTTATATGCATATATACGTATACGTTCATGCATACACACATATATATGTGCATATATATATATATATATATATATATATATATATATAGGACGGGTAGCGCAGCGTAGTGATGGCGTTCATCACGGGTACGATGCCGATTCGACGCGGCTCCAATCTCACCAAATCTGTCATTCCTCCACGGTCAGCCGATTGGTACTAGACTTGTCTTCGAGTCGTCCACTCCTTTGAATCCAAATGGGAATGCTCTACCCAGGCTCTGCGATGCTAGCACTTCAAGGAAAATCTACTTGACCGGCATTAAACGGCATTCATAAAGAAAACGATATTCCTCAACGAAAGCTGAGCCCACACGCGGAAAGTTCCGTAGATTTCACCTACGTGAATGATAGATGCGAGAAAACCAATTGAAAGCCAGAAATAACGGGATCGGCAAAGTCTCACTAATCTAATGATTGGAGAATACATCTATGTTGTAATGGGTTAGTCAGTGGGTTCTACTCACTCTAGAGATTCGAAAAATAGTGTTCTATTCTTCTAGGATCTCCTCAAACAGGTTTAGTCATCGACTTGGTGGTCTTCCTGCATTAGGAATCCCGTGGGACATGGTCACACTGAACATATCCGCCAGTTGTGAAAATATCCAACCATCTACGATAATGCTTCTGACTGTCGATTGTGGATTTTGATTTTTTTCCTTTCCTCACCTGACATCCCAGTTTCCAAGATATACACTAAAACAGGAGGAATCAGTTAGTGGAAAAGTGGACACGGGGCCTGTGGTCTTTTCTGTTTTCACTACGTCCTCCATGCCATTGTGAGCCTCCAAACTGCTCGTTACCTCCCACTCAATTCTAGTTCTATGTTTTAAGCGTAGAACGGAAACACCCACGCAGATGTGCGTGAATATGGTTGGTTATATGTATGCGAAAAGTGCAAGTCAATCCAGTACAGCGCGGAGAAGAGTCCGTCTTCAAATCCGTCTGTGTTTTAGGTAAAGGTCACTTTTAAACCTTATTTCATCCACCATTCATTTTGAGGAAACGCCGTTTACCCTCATGACCGGAAATATGTGTGGTGAATAAAGTTGGTTCCGGGGAAGTATATCAATTATTGTTGCTGTCCAGCGAACCTCTTGGTTGAGAAATGAAAGTCATAGGACTAGAATTTATTTACTTCTTTTCTTTTGATATTGACAGGTAGGTATACAGACTTTGTATCATGTTGTGCCAAATGGTTACCAGTAGCTCCTCAGCTTTCGCTCAGTAGGTCTACGAGTTAAAGGCGCCTCCACATCAGCTTGTTCTGTTCCCGATGACTTTATTTCATGTTTTGGATAAAATCAAGGCGTTGATTAGAATCATTACAAGCTCTGGCAACCATGTACCTAAGAATGTGTATGACAACATACATAAGGATAGTGTTAGTCAATCCATCATCGCAGTTGGAAACTCCTAGTCCATTTTGGATTCTTATTACCTCTTCACTATCGTTCTTGGGTCTAACAAAGATCAGAGGTATGCGCATCACCAGAATCAACTGTTGTTCTGATGGTTTGTCGCCTGTTGGTGACAAGGAGTGTTGATAGGTGCAATGCGCAGAATGACTGCAAACCTAGGAAAAGGGTTCGAGTTTTCCACGAACAGATTTATGAGAGCCATGTTTGGCTTTTCAGCAGAAGCAGTAAAGATGTGTGGTCGCATACCAGATGTGCAGGCTATAATACTGGGAAATTCCTGGTACACTGGCAGTTCGCATAACGTGATCGGATTCTATGTCCTCGTTGCTCGATTTCTGTGGAGTCCTTTGTGTTGCGTATTAGCTTTTCGAAATTCTGTACATATCTGCCGGTTCCGATTTTCATTTTGGCTTTGAAGAAACAAGTTATCCTTTTACAGGAATCGATCTAAGTAGATGTTTTTGCACGTTTTAATCGATGTTAAGATCAAACTTGGGTTTTATTGACTTCGGTAGAGCGTCACATTTTTGCTCTGTTTACTTACTATTGGAAGAACTAAAGTGATGTACAGTGAAATTCGAGGATCACTACGGAGCCAATTCAGTGTTTCACCTCCCCAAACAAATCTGCTACCAGTTCATTCAACACGAAGGAGAAATGGATATACGGTTGGATTTGAGGCGTGGTCGAAAAAGCAATTGTGTACACGGTGGCATCTCGTTACATTACACTATGCAACCGCCGTAATAGTCGCGTAACGTGGTAAAGTTTTTGTGCAGTTTCCTACTTTGTTCACTTGTCAGTAGTGCGTTGTTCTTGGTTTTCGTGTATCTATTTAGCCTGAGTGGAGTTGTAGATATTTTTTGTAGGAGGCATTGTAAAAAGGTTGTTTCATTTGCTGCTACTGTTCTTTTTCTAGACGCCACGGCACTTCGTGTTCTGTTTAGTCGTTCACTTTTGCCCTTAACATAATTTAAATTTAAGCGGAGTTCACCTAAAATATTTATTCAACCTTTTTTAAAGATTTCTATTTCAAAGGAATATGATCTGTTTTTGAATGTTCTTCAGCTGACGAGGTTTAGGATTGTAAGGAGTTCTCCACTTTTCTGAATTTCTTCTACCTTATTTAAATTTCTTGGCCACAGGTGGCTTTCTTTGTGGATATCGTGTGTTAATATCGGCATCGTTGAGTTCCTGATACTCGTTTTTCAAACCTGTTTCAGTTTCTTTTGTCTGAGTGGCTTTTGCCTTGTTCATATGTCACGGATCCGTGATTCGGAAATTGATGGGTGTTCATCTTGAATGCGTAGATTTCAAGAAGCGTGTATCCTTAGGATAAGTTGGAAGCTTCGCTCTAACTTCTGTTTAAAGTTCATGAATTTTTTTGAGGTAATATTGTCTTTGAGGTGTTTCTAATAAAACGAGTAGATCCATAAATTACGTACTCTAAAAACCACTCCATTACTACCACATGCACGTCGGTACGTGATTTTCGTTAAAGCTAGAAAAAACTCGTTAATTCCTATTCTTATGTAACTTTGTTAATAATGTTTACACCTATTCCTTACAACGGTTTACAGTCTCGTCGTAGCCGGGAGGGTTTCCTGGGTATCGGGCTGCGATGTTCAGCAGGGATTCATCCGACCAGCAGGGTCTCCTAAACTGAGTAGCAGTCCGGCGTTTCCATCAGGAAACCCAGCTAAGAGTAAACCATTACCAGGATCCACCACCGTCCTGGTATCAATCAAGTCGCATGGTGACAAATCTCCCTTTGAACCCCAAGGCGGCATCTACCCGTGGTGGTGACGACCTGGGGTAGGCTGTGGCCTAACTGACCTCGGAACTCCAAGGAACCACAATGGCTATGCTTGCAAAGCTCGAAAAAAATGAGATTTATGTTGGGGCTCACACAGCCAGTGAAGACGGGTTATCCAAGTGTCCGAATATTTACATATTAATTTATGATCTGCCAAACGTATCTGTACCACTTACTGTGAATAATTCCTAAGGTAGCTCAAGCAATAGGCGACGAAAGGATGTTGAGAACCGTACAGTCGTTCTCCTCGATATTTCTTGAAACTATAATTTTATCAAACATTCTACCATTGCTGTCAAAACCGGCTATCATTTAACCTCGGCACAAATAATCACATAAAAATCAGAGTAGTAAAGTGGGTGGTAAGTGAATAGAGGATTATGTAAGCAAAGTATATAGTACATAATATAATAGTATATATATATACATATATATGTATACATGGTATATATGATATGAGGCGCGTGTACTGCAGTTATTAGAGGGACCCAGCAACACATGCAATAGATATCACGCCCAAAGTCCGCTAAGCATTCCATCCATCTTGGGTCGACAAATTGGTATTTACCAGACTTTCTGGAAGGATAAGAGCACTGGCTCAATACATCGATAGGCCACCATTGTGAAGGCCATATGTGGATTCAGCCACCTCCAACGATGTTTAATGAAATCGAATGCATGGCGCATCCCTCAGGGATTGATCAATGCCGAGAGCTTTATCCGTTATCGTTTCTTATCAGCAACATTGACGTAGCTACAGTATTTTTATTTAGTTATGTTGTTTTAATGAGAAAAGAGAAAAAATTGAAGTAAATTGTAACGAAACCATGTCATTTTAAAGTGAGCACTTTGAATGTCTTTAGTTGGACTATCCAACACCGTTATTGTGTTGGTGGTACGCTTTGTATTGTAGTGAACGTATACCAGCAAGTTTGCTTGGGTTACGATTGCATTGCCAGCACGATTCAGCAATTCAGAGTGTTCTGCTAGAAGGTGATCGAATTTCCCTTATATCATATGCCCTTATATCATTGGTGCTCTATTGCTTTCTGCTTTCTCTTTTTGCCTCGCAATACGAAATTATCTTCACATAACTTTATCCATTCTGTTCTGTTCTCAATCGTTTTAACTCTCCAATTTTATCATTGATTTTGGTATTCTACAAACGCTTCTTTTATATTTGTCACTCGTGATGCGTACGTCATTCGTTTCTTGCTAGTATTAGTCTGCACTTCAGAGCGAAGCGTTCTTCGGCAACGAAGGTTACAACTACCGTCCTCTGCAGCTACTATTGTCTCCCCCACGCATATTCTACACTGCTTAGCTGTAGATGCCTTATTCTACAGGTTCGAGCGACTCTGGCTATTGCTTTACACGTAGATCGTCAAGATATAACCCAGGCAGAGAAACGACAACGAGCTCAGACCGTGCAACGAGTGGTGCTATAACTGACGATGATGAACCATTGCGATGCCCTCGTCGTGCTGGCAGTACATTTGTGCGAATAGCTCGTGGTAAGTCACGGCGTTTTCGCAAGAAGCCCATATCACACAGCGACACTAGTTCACGTTCAAGTTGTTCGAGCAGTGACCTTAATTCGTTGAACGGTGAGGAGGAACGTCGTTATACTCTGTCAAGTGAAGACATCATCAGTAAGATATACGTTTACTTTCAATCGTTGTTAGTGACGATACAACGGCAGCAGAAATTTTTTGAAAAGATCGCTGGATTGATGGCTGATGCGGATGCTCGATGGGGGGCTGGTGGAATGCGGGAGAGCTGGGTAGATCCTTCCGGTTGCTTCGCACCATTCGGATTTGGCGATCCCTCAAAACCGACTGCATTTCCTGGATGTTGGGCTGTTCCTCATCCATCTGTGCATTTAGCGCTGTTGTCGTCCAATCTTCAAAATTACCTCGAATTTCTATCATGGTGAGTTAAAATCCGTTTAAAATAAGCTGTTCATTATGTAGTATATCACTAAAATCAAACTATCTTAACGTCAACATAAGACTGGTGGAAACAAGTTGGCTATCCAACAGCTTCTAATTGTGTTGTTAATCATAGTTGCTAGTGTGGCCATTTCAGGATATACTGTTACTTAAACTGTTATAGACTTTTAAGTAAAGCAATGGGTTTTTATGCTTCATAAAGTTTTCTAATAATTCTAGGTCAACAAAGTTTCATTTTTGTATTAAACTGTAACTTAAAGGTATGTCTGCAATCAGTACCAGTCCTAGAAGTTGACGTAGAGTAAGTCGGCATTTATCTAAGCTGTATATGATTAACAGGGAGTCTCATCCAGTGTTTTAGCAGATATTTTGACTGCATTATATTTCTCATGACTTTTGACAAAATTCCTTTTGGCTCCTTAGCTGGACTATCTGCAAGATTGCAACCTAATCGACTCCATCAGAATTCCACGAGAATCATAAAGAAAACGAAATCCTCAAGCAGTAACCCAAACAACACGTGAAGTGTACAATAACATTGTGGACGGTTAATGGGAAGGAAGTGAATCGAATGCAAGAACTGCAGGGATCCGCACAGTAGATATGGTAAACGAGTCATATACTTGAATACTTGAATGGCCCGTTCTCATTGGTTGTGTGGGGGCCAGCATAGTCTTTATTTTTCGAAGGTTTACGGGTTAAACCATTGCAGTTCCCTGGAATCCCGAGGTCAACCTGGCCAAAGTTTGCACCAGGTCTTCACCACCACAAACAGTCGCAGCTTTTGTGGATGAGAGCGAGATTTACCACCATGCGACTTCAATACCAGGTCGGTAGTGGGTTCTGGTCTTCTTATCCTTATCAAGGCCTAGCTAGGCTTCCTGGTGGAAACGCCGGACTCCTTATCAGTTTAGGAAACTTTGCTAGGGCATGAATCCCCCGCTGTACATCGCAGCCTGACACCCAGGAATACCTTCCAGCCATGATGAGGCGGTAAACCGTTGGGAGATCAACGAGTCGCATAGTAATCAATAATCTGTAATACCCTTATAAAAACTCTTGTCTCAGTAAAATATGCTCCATGACGTGCTGCTAATTTCGCACTCACTATGCCAATTTTTTAAACGCAAGTCTTTTTCGATTCATAAAGCGACCAACTTAAAGTATAGCTGCGTCGTGAATATGTTTAGCATACCCTTAAATTGAAAACAAGCAACAGTTAATTGTACGCTGCAGTATCCTCTTTTTTATTTTCCGGAACAAAGTTTGTTGGACAGTTTTCGCATTGATTCATTCCACGGAGCTTGGGATGTTTTGGGATGTTCATTGAATGTGTGGCGTTCTTCAGGAAAGAAAATCGCTTGCACTTTGTTCGTCAGCACTTTCTGTCTACAATATCTGCATTTTACCCAACGTTTGCAAGCCTGTCCGTAGCACACTTCCAGTGTTTTTCTTCCACGAACCGTGACTACATCGATATATCGGTAGGCCACCGCGAGTCATTGTAAAAGCCAGTAATGCATTCAATCACGTCCAACCATACTTAATGAAGTCGAATGCATGGTGCATCCCGCAAGGATTGATCAACGCCTAGAGCTTTACCTTTTTTTAACTGTGACTAAGCTTGCGAAATTTTATTCAACTATAAGGAAGAACCGTATGGAGAAGGACATAACTGTATTTAGAGTGATGCATCTTAGTTCTACAAGCCCAGTATTCAAATATAGTTTGAATTTTGTTCGAGGAAAACATCCGTCAAGGAAAAGGCAAAATCTCTCAATGTTAATGCTGACGATCTTTTATGGCCTTTTGCTATTAGTTAGTCAAACATTTCCAGTTTACCTTTGCGAGAAAAGAAATTTCATCGGTTTGGAGGTTTTGGTCTACTGCGGCGCACCAACTTCACTTGCAGTTGAGGCATGGTCTGCTTGGATTTAACAGTGTTTAGCTAATAAATTTCCAATCTCTCATGTATAAATTCGCTACTCTTGTGATTTGGAGGATTGCTATCACCGTACGACTAAGACCAGTGATAAATTTTAAAAACTGTTGACGTCGTGGCTCATTCTTAACTATTATCGAGGAGTGAATACCCACTGCTAATCATATGTTCGTAAAGAGGGTGTTTCACCGAAACGTGGGAGATATAAATTAGTATGAAAAGGTACGGAATTTTATGAATTGAGTATCGACGAGATGAACCCACAGATCGTTAGCTAAGAAAGCGCATGCGGTTTGAAGACTATACAGCACTGCTTTCGTAACATAACTCATTGATGACTGACCTGATGCTAAGGCTTCTTCTGTAATTCGACTGTGTTTCATCAGTGCGTCTGCTTTCATGTGACGGCTGTTTTTAACTTGTTGATGATGGGCAATAACCGGTTGCTGAGAATGCTATATGCGCGAATACTTATGACTGACTCACTGCAACGACAAATGGCCTATAAACGTCGCTTTTCCATAGATAAATGCGGCCAAAAATATAAATGTTCCCTAGGATAGAGTTTGGTACATCTCGATTATAGTGAGGTGTATTTGAAGCATTCTTAACAAATTTTACTATGCTACATTTCTAGGGATTTCTCAGTCGGAAGCAATTATATCAACGTAGTTATTCGTCTTCCTGTACTTAACACATTCGTTAGTACGTCCAGCTCGATAATTGTGGCATGGAACATCACCTGGTTTTTTTTTATTACGGGAGATATGCATTGAACTAAATTCATACGCTCTGAAATTCTTCACAAAGTCGGGGATATCTTTTTATTATCTTCATCAGTAGTGATATCAAGTGCACTTTCTTTATGCAATAGGAAAAGAAACCAAAAGAGGACTTGTGGAGACCAACGCTTTCTTCTCAATAGGTTTTTTAAAATAGATTTGTATAAAATGTTACTTTCATCAGATCACATAACTTACACCATCGTTGCTCAGAAAGCTATTGATTTTATCGCAAAAGAAAGTTTGCGACAAAGGAATATATCAGAGTGGCAAACTGTTCAAATCACTGTGTATTGTTGTTCAAAGTGTCACCACCTATGTACGCAATTGAGACGCGTTTGTAATCATGATTACATCAACGCACGCTGACGTTCTAACACACTATAACTCAATATCCCCTAGAATATTTCTGAAAAGGACGTTTGTATTTTGATGGTTGCGGATTAAATGAAAGAGAGAGAGAGAGAGAGGGTAGGTCATATTAAAAACAACGAATTTGTCTTATATTTCACAAGTATACTTACTTACTTGATACTTGATAACCAGTGGCCCGTCCCCACTGGTTATGCGGGCTCCAGCATAATCTCCATTTTTTGGAGATTTGCTGGTTAAGCTATTGTAGTTCTCTGGAATCCCGAGGACAGCCTGGCCAAAGTCTGCCCCAGGTCTTCACCACTACAAGCAGTCGCAGCCCTTGTGGGTCAGAGGGAGATTTGCCACCATGCGACTTTGATACCAGGACGGTGGTGGTTCTTGGTATTAGTTCACACTTGGCTAGGCTTCCTGATGGAAATGCCAGACTCCATGTCAGCTTGGGAGATCCTGCTAGGGAATGAATCCCACCCTCTACATCGGAGTTCGACACCCAGGAACACCTCCCAGTTGTGACAAGACGGTAAACCGTTGTGAAAAAAAAAACTTTTTATGTCAGATTAGTGGTAATAATGAATTTCCAACTGTGTTACTATGTTGATTCGAATCTGCGATACTGCTGCAAGTGCCGTTTATCTTTTTTATTTTGCCGTTTTTGAAAATGGAAGTGTGTATTTTTTTACGCTTGCCATGGATCGCCAGTAGTAATGGTTTGTGGTTTGTGATTTTAATGAGCTTATCACTTTGTTTCTTCAACGCGGCCCACAGTCCTCATCTTCATATTAGGCTTAGCTAATTTATACTGCACTTTTTAGAGAGCCGTGAGTATGTGAAAAAGCAGCCTTATATCTAACGCGGTTGAAAATTAGGTGTCCTTGTCGTTCTGTTGAAGTTATGGAGGTGTTTGACTGAATCGGTTGCGATTAACTTGACATTTACAGGCTCTGAAAAGGACTAGATCCTCCAAAAGAGCAGCTCTTGTGAATAAAAAATACGCAATAACAACCTCATGTGTACTAATCAACGAAATAGCGAGTCATCAGTGCTGAGGTTAATAGGATGTCGTTCCTGGGAATTACTGCGACTTTTAAAGTTTTTCTTCTTAGGTTTGGGTTTATCATTTATAGCAGCAACTTTTCTATTCTTCACTGAAGATTGACTCAGTACTATCAACTTAAATAATTAAAAGAAATCTGACAATTTCCGAAGAGCGCAGATTTCGCTAAGTCAGAGCAACACAGAAGAGTATCTTCAAAGGATTATACATATTTGATAACTGAACGGTCCGTCCTCACTGGTTGTGCGAGCCCACCGTAACCTCCACTTTTTCGGAGATTTGCTGGTTAAACTATTTTCGTTCCCTGGAATCCTGAGGACAACCTGGCCAAGATCTGCCCTAGGTCTTCACCATCACAGACAATCGCAGCCCTTGTGGATCAGGGGGAGATTTGTCGCAATGTGACTAGTTTAATATCAGGACGATGGTGGATCCTGGTATTGGTTTACTCTTAACTAGGCTTTCTGATGGAAACGGCGAACTCCTCAGCTTGGGAGATCCTACCAGGGGATGATCCCCGCTGTACATCGCGGTCCGACACCCAGGAACACCTCTCAACTACAATGAAACAGTACACCGTTGGGAGGCTTCAAAGGAATATCGATTGATGAAGTACTTTGAGGCTGGACGCGGTAACCAATTTTGTTTTGAAACAGCGTATTGCAAGTGAACATGCTTTTTGTCGTTGAACAGATAGGAACTAACTCTTTAGAAATGCTTTTCTCTGTATTCACACTTACTTTTGCATGACTTTACTGTATATTATTTCCATTTGATGCGAATCGCCTTCACATCTACTGCACGAATTACACGGATTACAGTACTTCTAGC